TCCAGTTTTCAGGGAATAGCGGTTTGTTCAGTTTTAGTTTATATTTCAACTTGTCCTAATAAACGGAGCTGTAGTCTTGTGTCCCACTTCAGACACACATTCCTCATATGCAAGTGATTCAAGGGACTTGTGCACATGGCAACATAACACGTCAGAGGCACTGTTGCACCCCTGCCAGATGTCTTCCCAGGCTCACAATAGCATGTCTCATGTTTGGCAGTACTAATCTTGTGTGGCATTTAGGTAAGTTCTAAATGTTCAGTAAACAATACTTTTAACTTACAACTACGGGCTGAACTCTGCCCTCAGATATGCATCTTCAGTTCTTAGTGTGTTGATTCTAAACGAACGTATGCTTAGGTGTCTGAGGATGGTATTTAGTCCTCTATGCAGGAATAAGTGGGACCAGTGACTGTGTCCTCATGTGTTGGAATTAAAACGAATGTACTGCAGACTGGAGTTAATTAACCGAAAGAAGGGTTGTTTTTGTAAGGTCTTGCTTTGCCCCTTGCAGACTTTTTATAGAAGGAAAGCTGTTAACTCAATGATCTCTTGAACAAAGACATCACTGGAAGGAGGGAGGTTTCTTTTAGCGCTGACAGAGCTGCCTCTTTCTCAAATACAACAAATCTTAAGCACAGAAGAAAAAAATATCTGCAACAGAAAGGGACTTACTTATAATTTAGCTGTTTTCTGACCAAAACTACTTTCCAAAAAAAGAGAGCAGTATAGATCCAGAACTGCTTTATGTGGGCCTGACAAATAACAGTAGTGCTAAGATACATTTGTAAATCTACAAGTAATGAAATTCAGCTAGAAGTGGATTATTTAAACATTACATTTAGAATATTTTATATGTTATTACTAATTTGTTCTATAAATTACTGACAATGTAAAGGATAAAAAAGGAGCCTTGATGCGTAGCTTGAAACCGTGCCTAGGAAGTAAACAGCTCCCTGTTCTGGGACTTGCCTTAAACTTGTCCAGTCTTTGCTTTTGCTTTGCCAGTAGTACTGATGATCTGTCCCACCTCAAGCAGTTCAACGTGCTCAAGAATCTTGTATTAGTAAGTTTACTTACTATAGAAGCTGTACTTTCTTTTTCTGCTTCTCCATTTCTTTGTAACTGTGGCATCTTGATTCCAGCTTCATCAAGTTTTATACCATTGGGTGGGTGAACTTACTAAGCGATCCATTTATTAGAAATGACCCTGCAAACAAACCTGTGCAATACTATGTAATACGTTCACTGTGCTTGGGGGAGATGGTGTGTAGTACTGGAGAATTTCTAGGTGGGCGCATTCAATGAAATTGCAGCCAAATGAACAAAAACTGTATGTCTCATGTAGATGAGGGGAAAGTTGGAAGTTCCACAAGGATCTCTGCATATTCAGTTGCACATCTTTAAGACTGAGAGAAAATGTATCTGGCTTTGTCATGAGGCTCTTAATATGTATATTGTTTAATAAACTATCCTGGTGAAAATCGGAAAATATCACTTAAGGCAGTTGAACCCTGTGACTTAGCAAGTGTGTGCGTGTGTGAAATCAAGTTTACTTGGCTTTTCAAACCCTTGTTACATTGTAATTTTTTAATGTAAAAAAAAAATAAAGTGATGAATTGAAGTCTTCAAGTTGGTTAACTTCTGCTCTGTAAATGTCACTTTTTTGCATATGTATGTGCATGTTCACATATATTCAGATTATAAGAATTTCAGGGTAGAGGTCTTGCATCATTTGGCTTCTAACCTATATTTACGTGCATCTTGAGTAACAGTTGCTTCACTTCAAATTAAAGATGCTACTCAGTTTTCCTTACTGAGAGTTTTAAACCATGCTAACTATTTCGCTGCCTTTGGGCTTTTCACCTTCGGCATCCTCTGGTGTAATTGCTTATCTTAACTAGTGCCTGTTTGTCTATGGCCAATGGGAGAACACAGGGAATACTTCCTATTTGAAAACTCATATAACTGGCTTTGCACATTCAAGGCATTTGTGTAAAACATCACAGGTTTGGACTCCCTAATTTGTCTGTCCAAAGGTTGACTATTTTCCCTTAATTCTGTAGTTTCAGATACAAAGAGAGCTACTTCTTCAGCCTAGAAAGCAGCACTTCAGGCAGGTGCTTGTAATGCTGGAGTTGTAAATAGAGCGACTGACCCAACAGCGCAGCCCAAGGAGGAAACAAGGTCTGCAAAGGCACTAAGGAATGGAGTGACTGGAAGCTATTTGTTCCCTGTTTGCAACAAATCCAAAGAATAGTTCTTTACCTTTCCTGGGTATGACACCCCACTTTCTTTTGTACACTGCTTGTCCTGCTTAGTCAGGTAAAAATCACCTGTATGCACAAAATTGCTGCAAATGCAGTGATACACATTTAGTGCTAGCACCTTGTATTTTTACCAGGTTAATAGCTTCCTTACGTTTGTGTGCTGCAACAGCCAAACTCCGCTGTATTTACTTTTTCTTTTTTAAAGAAACTATGTTGTTTGATCTTCAAATGGAACAGAAATCTCTGCAGATGGAACTGGCTAATCTAGCTCCCTCTTTTTCTTGTTTAATTTTTAGTAATAGCGTCAAGCACTTTCATGGACCCTTTCTGAAGTCTTAAACCACAGCAGTGGCAAGTGAGAGCTCATCTATTGACTTCTTCATGCCTGTCCTGTAGGTAAATGTCACTTATCTATGAATGTTTTCACTACTTTGTATTGGCACAGTGTTAATAAGCAAATACATTCAAAGTTAATAGAGGAAGAAAGTGGCAAGCCTTGTCACTCGTGTTTTCAAAATGTTCTCTGAAAGTGGATAGTATGTAAGAGGGTTATAAAGGCAGAAATTAGACTGCAGAAAGATTCTTAACTCTATTAAGAATACCAAAATGAAATGCGCTGACCATTGCAATTCTGTTTACCTTTAAGCCATTATTCCATGAACAGAGCAACAATTCAGCTTATGCAAAGTGAACTGAACAGAGTAGTTGTTTGTGGCAGAATATGGATAGGTGATTCTTTATTTATGTTTCTTAATATTTTTTGCTTGTGTCACCTATTTAAGAAAAATGAAAGTATGAATATGTTCTAAATTTCTTTAAGGGGAAATGCTATCATTCAGCTTTTGCAGTGTTTCCTGAATATATCAAAGTAGCAAATAGGCTACTGGAATACAAATGACTCTTGTCATACCCAAATACAGCTCTGCAAAATAGCTAGCATGCATCAAAGCAAGGACAGTCTTAGTCTCTTAAGAACAGAAATGAAACTTTGCATCTCCTAAAGATTTCTGCTCTTTCCCTTGATACTGTAGCACAGGTTAAAGGTAAAATAAGACCTAGATTCAACCTTAGTAAAGCCACTGTTACAATTGTGGATGGCATTTATAAATAAAATGCATCACTTAAGGATGGGTAACACTGTATTACCTGAGATACTTCACACAGTTCTGGCAAAGCAGCCAGCATCTTGCCAGACTACTGTAGGATATTTTTGAACAATGGTTTTGTACCTCTTTTGTTAACAAACTTCTAGTTCTAATAAAGCAGAATTCTAACAAAATAGTCACTTCCAATGTATATTTGCACAAAAATATTAATATTTTCTTTAATTTAAAGTGAGGCTTGACATAGGGAAGCCAGGAAAAAATCTCTAATTTTTTATGACAGTCTATTCTGGTCCTAACTGTGCGCCTCTTGTAAGACAATAAATTGTTCTTGCTGTGAAGCCTTTACCAGACCAGCTAAACTTTGGAGACTGAACCTGATTCTCCTTCCAAATGCATTTGCAAGATGAAATATTTGCTTGTTTGTGGACAATTTTATTCTAGCAAATAACACCTTAGATTGCTAATTAATCAGTCTCATATGAAAGCTGGGCTTTGCAGCCATATACGATTCTTTTTTCCATGATGTGTGTGAAAATCCCTTAAGGTATTTGCATTTGCGAAATCAATAGAGAAATTTGATTTTGAGTTAAACAAAAAAGGCAAGCTCCTTCTCCGTTTGAGAAATGTGGACCATATGGAATTTATTTCCCCTCTGGATTTATATTCTTATCATTAATAAGTATAAATGTACATTTAATTTCTAGAAATCTAATGTAATCTACATGATGGA